CATATATATATATATATATATATATATATATATATATATATATATATATATATATATATATATATATATATATATATATATATATATATATATATATATATATATATATATATATATATATATATATATATATATATATATGGACTCCAGTGAGATGACACCTTACGGTGAGATGACATGCTTTGGTCAGATAACACAAAGCTCACCACTGGCCACTGCAAAACTCACCAAAGACAATTACAAAGCTCACCATATTTTTTTAACACTTTGAATTTTTTTTGAAAAAAAAACCAAAGGAAGGGGTGCTGAATAGACTTTGACCATTGACCGTTGACCATCACCGGCCACCGCCAGTCTCCGCCGCGCCGCCACTGCTGACCGGTGGTTGACCGGTGTTGCTATTTTATTTTTATTTCCAGGTGAGCTTTACATTGGTCATTGGTGAGCTTTGGAGTGTAATGTGGTGAGCTTTGCATCATCTCACCGAAGAATGTCATCTCACTGAGTCAATCCTATATATATATATATATATATATTTGTGCTGACTTTCCAAAAATACCCTTGATGTGATGTGTAAAAGTAAGATGTGATAAGTAGATTTTTAGTAAAAAGGTATGATGTGATAGGTAGGGTATGAAAAAATAAAGGGTAAAATGGGTTTTTAAGGGAAAAGAGAATTTTATTTGGAGACAAAGAAAAAACGAAAGGGGAAGTTTATATATAAGTGTTGAAAAAATATGGGTAGATTTGTTTTGACTAATGAGTGAAAAAAGAAGTGTATATTTGTAGTTGACTTTTTATTTTTGTCTTTGATATGATGGATAAAGTTAAGATGTGATGGGTAGATTATTAGTAAAAAAGTATGATGTGATAAGTATAGAAAGAAAAAGTAGGATAAAAATGATTTTTAATAGAAAGTAAAAGTATTTCAAGAAAAAAATGAAAGAGAAAGTAGTAATTTAATTAATGTTTTGATTTTGAAATAAAAAACTAATGTTTTTAATTTATCTAAATTGTTCTTTTACATAACTAGAGAAAAATGTAAATAATGTGAAAAGATTAAATTTTTAGTGCAAAATTAACATCGTTAGTTTTGGGTCATTTTATTATCATTTTGATATACAAAATTTGATGTCACATTGTTTTTTTTGTGTGGAGGCATCGTTAGATTATTTATGACTGTTTTATTTTGTTTTCGTTAAGAATAATAAAAAGTATTGCTTCATTTATTCCATTATTTTTTAAAGTGGATTAATGGCATGCAAATCAAGAAATAAAAAATTTTATGATTCATATCATCCTTTAATATAATATTTGAGATTTGATCGACTAGAATCAAATTTAGCCTCTTAAATTTGATGACACGTTGTAGATCTTCGTCGAAGGAAAGGAAATCTGCACCACGAGGTGATGCCGCTGATTCTACGCGTTAATTTGCAAAACCTACGGCATTAAGATCCATTTATTCATAGGCTTCAATTCAAAAATCAGGTTTGTTTCCAATATTCGTATGTAATTCTTATTCGAATTCCATATATACTTCCGAATCTAGGCTCTGGAATTCCCCATTTTTTTCGGTAATATCGTCTATTATTAATCGTGGCTTTATTTAGGGTGGGATTACATACCTAATTTAGAATCTTATTATGCTTAATTACATTGGAGAAATCTATAATTACTTTTTCTAAGAGTGATATACTACATATATATTCATTCTCCTCAAGAACAACCCACCACACCCCTTAGGCATATTTTTTTTTATATTCGTACTTTTTTAGATCATACATGTCGAAGACCATCCATCCATTGTCTAAAATCACTCCAACCAGTATGTTTGTGCATATTTTCATGTTTATTACATATTAGAGAGATTCTGAGTAGTGTTGGCTCTAACTTTGAAGATGTAAGTACATGAACCTTTAATAATAACTATTTATAAGGCATTAGTTCTATTGGAAGTTGTATTATTTTAATGCTTTTTCTGTGTTCTGTTTTTTAATATGGATGGGTGCAACATTCTTTTGTCATTCTTTGATATATGGCACTAATTTTCCATCATCTCTGATGGAGCCAAAATTTCACCATTTTTTGGCTTTGGGGTGTGATGGAATAAATCAAAATGGATCTCTAAATTATTTGCGCTTCTTTAATTTATGAAGTAGCAGTTAGTCAAGCAATGCAATTTTCGACGTTGAGCCGAGGGTCTCTTTGGAAACAGCCTCTCTACTTTCGAGTAGGGGTAAGGTCTGCGTACACACAGACCCTACCCTTGTGGGATTTAACTGGCATGTTGTTGTTGATATATGGCACTAACAATAATAACGAATGTATTACAACGCATGCGAGTAGTGCAAGAAGCTAAATATAAAGTGTATGTGTTTTATTCTAATTAGAAGTATACATCATTTAAGGACTTTAATAGAGAATATTGTCCAACTTTGATGTACCTAGGTACATAACGGTGTAGAGTCTAAGTCAATTCAACTATATATGTGCAGAGTTCCTACATTACAGAGTCTAATGAGGTTACATAAGAGCTATATTTTTTTTATTGAGAAGCAACAGAGTCATGTTAACTTGAATGGAGAAATATTTCCTAAAAGCATGCTTATTTGTGGGCAAGTCCGTGAACTTTTTCTTTCATTTAAATGGACTCACATGTATTATACAACGTGAAAACAATTCTGAGGCCTCTAGAGTTGTAACTTGAATTTTTAAAAGTCTTAATCACTCTGATGATAGTTCTTATCACTTTCATTGTGGGCTCTCACCTTAAAATGATATGTTTAAAAATATTGTTAGAAATCTAAGAGTAGTTACATACGTGCACTGATTTATCTACATTAATTTACATTTGTACTACTTTGTCTTGCATGATTTAATCCAATGATAGTCGATCACCCCAACCTGAAAATGATGTGACCAAATGGTCCGAATTAAAGATTTGAACAAGGATTCTCAACCAGTTAGCGTGCTTGAAGATCCAGGTAATTCCCAAAATACATTACGATTATAATATATTCATCTTCCATACCTATTTCAGAGCACTTTTCTACGATTATGATGTGAGCTTTGGAATGATGTTGTGGATGACAGTGATCCTGATCTGGATGAACCCCAAATCGAGCATTTGTTGCAGACAGCTGAAGCCATCAGGAAAGACTATACTAATGAGGATTGGCTCCATTTGACTGCACTTATCCATGGTTCGTTTGAAATCCTCGAATTTTTATATAAATATTTTTGAAAAATATGAACTTTACCTTTGGGTCTTGGACTACTCTTTTTATCAGGATGAAAACGAAAGTCTTCATTAGTGTCAATTTCTACAGCACTATTTTCTATACTTAAGTTGAAGGCTAAAATTTTAATCTTTGATGTCATAGGTCTTGGCAAAGTTCTGTTGCTACCGAGCTTTGGAAAGCTTCCTCAATGGGCCGTTGTAGATGAGATCAATGGTGTATAAATATATGTTAACTACGAAAGTTCACATTTATTTATAGTGTTGAGTTCTAAATTTTTCCAGGTGACACATTTCCTCTTGGTTGTGCATTTGATGACTCAAATGTTCATCCTGAGGTATGGTATTCAGCCAATTGTATCTACTGTTTTAGGTGTTCCTAAAGTGTTCCCATGACAATTGATTATAAGTTAAAATGACTCCATAATGAATATTTAATCCTACCATCAACTTTTCATTTTTGGTTTTTTATTATATTTATGTTTTTTTTTTTGAAATTGTCTAATTTGTTCTTGAAACTTGAAAATTGTACACAATCATACAACTTAACAGGGCTGGTAACCGATGAAGATCCCTCTCTTTTTGTATTAAATATCTTAACTGCACCGAGGCCAGCATCACCAAACATGTAAGAATCCTTTATAGTATATAAATTTCAGAGTTTTTACTCTTAGAATTCGCCAATTGGCAATGTCCAATGTCTATTTTTTGATACGTAGATTGCCACATGTCACTTCTCCGATTTAAGAAAACCAGCAGAGAAGGAAACTCTCACTGTGATCTGTGATCTCTTATTCACAGAAGGAAACTCGAAAATTAAGTCAGTCTCTTCCTGACTACATATATGTTCTTTATGTTTGAGCTATAATATTTTTAATTCTTGAATTCGTAATGAATTATGGTTGGTAGTTGCAGGAGTAAACTGATTTTTCCCTTTTATTCCAGATGGTGCCGGTTAGGTATGTACATAAATACTGCGTATGAAGTGTATTTTATACAACAAAAACTCTGTAATTTAAAAATAAGCTACAAAAAAATTAATTATATTACATATATACATATGGGAAGATGATTTATATCGAGCTCAAATCAAGGTTTCAAAATTATTGCAACACTTTGACTGCTAATTGTTTTCAAGTTATACTGAGTATTTAGTTTTAATTTAAATATAATAAATTTGGGTTAGTTTGAAAATATATTGTTGATATATCAATTTTCTATAACATTAAATTATTTTAAATTATACTCCCTCCGTCTCACAGTTTCTTTTCTATTTTGACTTCGCACGGAGATTATGAATAGTTTAGAAAATGTAAAAACTTTCCATGTTTGCCTCTTGTTTGCCAAAATTGAAAATGAGAAAGGAATTTGTGTTCATCTACCCATCCAGGTTTCCTCTCTATTTTTTAAATGATTACATTTGATCTTTTTTTATTCATCTCTATGTATTAGTCTTATTTTGCTAATTGTTATTTTCTAACCTTTAAATACAAATTACTTTTTATTACTCTAAGAATCTGTTTTTATCTTCAAATACATGTTCAATTTATTATAAAAGACCACTATAGAAACTTCAAGAATACGTAAGTGATACTCCATACAAAAATAGTATTCTTTACCCTTCCATATTAAATTTTTTTTATTCATTTTCTTAACTAAATGAGTTAAAATCCTTCTATTCTTAAAAGCAAGAGAAAAATGCACCGGCATTTTCCCGCCCAAATGCAAAGCAATCTTAACCGTTGATTCTTAGAAAAAATGAGATCTAAGGATGATATATAATCCAGTGTTTTAAGGTCAAATAAGGATAAATTTGTACAATAAGAAAAAAATTAAAGGTGTGGAGAGGACCACACGAAGATATGTATACTTCTAACATTGTATATCATATTTAGCTATATTTTTAACCATTTGCTAAAATAAAAAATTTAACAGAGTTAAAAACAACATGTGTCCGCCCCGTGCGTTGCACGAGTTAAATACTAGTTTAATATAATAAAGGAGACTCGGATGCATAGAAATTCGACATTTGGCATGTCTATGTGGCAAAATTTAAACATGTCAGCATGCCACGTAATATTCTAGTAAACAAGCGGAAATAAATTATATACGATGCACCAGCGGATCTCCCGGACCGCAGATTTTCTACGCGATAATTACTAACCTTCAACAAAAAATTTTCCTTCAGATTACAACAATACGAACTCCTATTATGATGATAATATAAAATAATAAAAGATAAATATGAAAAAATATAAATACTATTTTAAAAATAAATATAATATTTTTCATTTAATTTAAATAGAATTTTATGACCATGCTACATATATTAATCCTTTATCTTACTTCCATATTTAAAAATTACATACTTAAATTAATAAGTTACAAAGGTTTATTATGGAAATTCGTGTATAATAAGAGTTAAAATCAATAGAGTATCTACATTAATGGAAATTGGAATATTATATTTTACAAAAAAGATTATTAAGAAATAATCCTAAATTTGAAAATGATGATCATGAGTATATTGCTCATCACCTTACTTATATTATGTATGCTAGATAATACTAATATTATTTTGGATCCGTTTACTTATATATGAAAATCCTTAATTATGTGTCTTGGATAATCAATAATAGTATATGTTAATATATGTTTTCAGATTACAACAATACGAACTCCTATTACGAGGATAATATAAAAAATTAAAAATAAATACGAAAAAATATAAATACTATTTAAAAAATAAAAAAGAACTATAATAATTTTCATTTAACTTTAGTAGAATTTAGAACCATGCTACATATATCAATCTTTTATCTTACTTCAATATTTATAAATTTCATACTTAAATTAATAAATAACAAAGATTTATTAATGGAAATTCGTGTATATATAGGTTGAAATCAATAGAGTACCTATACTAATAGAAATTCTGATACTATTTTTGATTCCTTACTTATTTGTCTTACTTCCATTAGTGTATATCATTGATCACCTTACTTATATATGGTCATTAACAAAATTTACAAAAAATCTTATTAAGAAACAATCCTAAATAGTACTAAATTTGTAAATTATGATTACAGGAATATTATTCATCACCTTACTTATATTATGTATCTTGGATAATACTAATATTATCTTCGATATCTTTACTTGTATATAGGGTTAACAATGTTATACATAACTCTTTTCAAGAAGCATGCGAAGCATTGGGGTTATTAGCCGATTATAAAGAACTCATTGAGGGAATAAAAGAGGTTGCTGAGCTAGGATCTGGAAGTCAATTAAGAAAGTTGTTTGTCACATTGTTAGTGACAAATACCATGAGTCGTCCTCAAGTCGTTTGGGAAAAAAACATGGGAGCTCTTAGTTGATGAAATTTTATTTGATTGAAGAAGAATATTGCGGAATCAAGGTATTTTTATAAAAACTTATTTTTTTATTATTTATATAAACATTAATATGAAATGGATGGTATTTATACAAAACTTTAGAATTGGCATCTTTGTCGAAATAATTTAGTCTAATATTAACTTTTTTTTGCAGAAATTCTTATCTCCCCAAAAGATCTAAAGCATTTGTGTTTGATTGAGAATGAAAAGTTACTTAATTCAAACGATGGTATGCCATTTCCAGATGACAACCCACTCAATAGATTTCAAAATAACTTCTTGGTAGAGGAGTTGAACTATGATAGAGAAAAATTGTCATCTGATCTGAGACAATATTTATCTACCATGAACGAAGACCAGAATTAATAAGATATACGACGATATAATGGAAGTCGTTGTAGCTAAAAAGGAGGTTTCTTTTTGTGTATGATTACGGGGGAACCGGAAAGACCTTCCTCTGGAAATCATTATACGCTTCTCTTGGATTAAAAGGGAAGGTTGTTCTGAATGTTGCATCTAGTGGGATTGCAGCATTGTTATTGCCTGGCGGAAGGACTGCACACTCTAGATTCTCAATCCCATTGGTGCTAACTAAGTGCTCAACATGTGCTATCAAAAAAAGGAGCCCGAAATGAGAGATATCATGAGGTTCTGTAATGCCAACTACAGAAATGAACCATTTGGAGGGAAAACAGTTATACTCGGAGGTGACTTTCGACAGATCCTTCCCGTTTTACCCAGAGCTTCGAGAGAGGATATTGTAGGTGCTACGGTCAATTCCTCACATTTGTGATCGTAATGTAAAGTTTATACGTTGACCAAGAATATGAGACTGCATTCATCCACGTTTTCTTGCACATATAGGGACACACAAAAATTTTTTGATTGGATAATCAAAATGGGTGATGGAATGCTAGGTCAGGTGATGGATGGAATTAGTGATGTTGAGATTTCACCTGAATTCTTAATTCTTGATACAAGTTCTCCTATGAAGAGTATAGTGGACTTCACTTATCCGAATATATTAGAAAATATGAAAAATTATTCTTTTTTTAGGATAGAGCATTATTCGCACCAACTCTCGAAATAGTTGAAATGATAAATGAATTTGTTATGTCCCTCATTCCAGGTGATGAAAAGGAGTACTTGAGTTCTGATTCTTCGTGCCAAGCAGAAACAGATGTAGGTGTTGATGGCGATTAGATAACGGTTGACTTTTTGAACAAAATCAAATATTCGGCAATCCCAAACCACAAAATAGTCTTGAAAAAAGTGTACTGATTATGCTATTGAGGAACATTGACCAAACATCTAGATTATGTGATGGGACAAGATTAATCGTTCAAGAGCTGCGAAATAATGTTATCGGTGCAATTGTGGTTTCGGGAAATCGAGTCGGGGAAAAAGTTTACATTTCTAGAATGAATTTGGTACCATCTGATCCAGGGCTACCCTTGAAGTTTCAAAGAAGACAAATCTCGATCGCCATATGTTTTGTTATGACTATCAACAAAAGTCAAGGTCAAACGTTGTCATTTGTGGGATTAGTTTTAACCAAGTCAGTGTTCACACATGGTCAACTATATGTTGCTGTTTCACGAGTGAAGACAAATACAAGATTAAAAATATTAGTTCTAGATGATAATGGAAACTCTTGCAATCATACCAAAAATGTTGTATACTTTGAAGTCTTTTAGAAAATTTTGTATTGAAATAAACATTGTTAACTCTACATTTTGTTCCTTAAATATTATTTATTTTACTTTGATTTTTTCATTTGTATTATTAAAAATCATGTGAGCAATATATTTTCTTTATTCCGAAAAATAAATTTCATTGAAATAATTCAGAATCGACATAAATTTCTTTTGACCCCGTGCATGGCACGGGTCATAATACTAGTTTATCTTAAAAGGTAAGAAAAAGTAAGGACAAATAGTGATTTGAGAATTGAGACAAAAATATAATGAAAAAGAAGAAAGATTCTTCCTAATTTTCCAACTCGTGGTTTAATTTTTTCCAAAATCTTGCAATTTCGTCCAACTTCTAATTCTCCAACATTTAACTCGGTCCGTTTTTACAACTCAAAACAATCAAAAAAAGAGAGCCTAAAACAAAATGTATAATTCAATGCCTAAACACTCTTACACTATGTTCGGTCTCTAAAGCATGCCTCAAATTTTATTGAATTAAGAAAATAAAAAAGAAGAAGAAAAAAATTAAAATTTAGTTTTTGACCTTCTTTTTTACCATTGATATAAATAATCTCTTTATTTAAAAAAGAACATTAATTATAGAGAATGAAATGAAATTGAAGTTTTTTCGATTCACTTAATTCAAACAGTGGTATAGAAAAAAAAATCTTACATATTTAAAAATGATGTCAAAGTTCTACAAAATAAGAGCGACAAGAATATTTTACTTTATCAAATAATAAAAAATACACAAATAAATAAAAATTCTACAAATTTTGAATAGTGAACTATGATGTTCTTTTGAAAGAAACATGATGATCGACCCACATATTCTTATAAGAAAAGAAAAAGGAGATGAATCATTATTAAGCAAATTTTCGCCTTTATTGGACATTATGGACATTATAAGTGCTATTTAGAGAAATAAAACAATTTAAGTGCTATTTAGAGAAATGATTTAAGTTTTAGTGCGATTTAGTGCAAATATTTCTTTATTTTAATGGAATTAGATAAGTAATGTTATAATAATAATATGTTAGAATATAAGAAACATTTCCTGTGCCACACCCACAAGCTTGAGCTTTTAGTTGAGATGGTTCCTTAACATGATATCAGAGCCTTGTTGACTAAGAGGTCACAGGTTCGAAACTCAGCGCCACCCAGTTTAAAAAAAATTAAGGTTTCACGTGCAAGACTCGAAAAAAACTACGCTTGCACGGAGGGGGCGTGTTAGAATATAAGAAACATTTCCTGGGCCACAACCACAAGCTTGAACTTTTAGTTGAAATGGTTCCTTGACATAATAATAATAATAATAATAATAATAATAATAATAATAATAATAATAATAATAATAATAATAATAATAATAATAATAATAATAAACACAAAGTATTGAAAAGATATTAAATAGTAAAAGGGAGAAAGACCAAAGTAGGACTAAAACATTGAAAATATACCAAAATAGGACTTCCAAGTTTTTATTCCCGAAATAGGACTTACATTACCAAACATGGTCATATACATTACCAAAAAAGTATAGTAATTTGCACATATACATTGCCACATTACCACAATGCAAAGTCACATTACCACAGTGCAAAGTCCTATTCCAGGAAAAAAACATGAAAGTTCTATTTTGGTACTTTTCTCTATGTTATAGTCCTATTTAGGAAGATTTCTAATAGTAAAATGTGAGTAGTTAAAATTTATTTTATAAAAAAGAAGTATTTTGGATGCAATATAAAAAAAGGTGAACAAAAAAGTCAAACTAACGTGGTGTTACAAATAATCATACGGATTACAATGGACAATGAAGATGAATGACCCTTGAAGATAAACGAATAAAATTCCAAATTTATATATATAGAAAAATATAGAATAAATAAAAAAACAAGAAAAGAGCTTCTGATTCTTCAAAGTCTTTTGCTTGAGAGTGAGAACATTACGCATTGGACTACAAGACATTATCCCATACTAGACTAAAGAAGCGAACTAGAACTAAGACAGTAAGGCCCTATTTCATACGATCAACTAGACTGAAGACTAGGGCCACTGGGAACGAATGTTTTGACGAACTTTGACAAACAAGATGTACCAAAATATGCTCTGATTAGGAATTTTCTCGCACATCGAAAAAGAAACAAAAAAATTTAACATATATAACCCTAATGGTCTCTACTGTCATAACCACTTGATTTTATGATTAATCTCTCTTGGGCCATGGCATTGTATTGGGCCGATCATGGAAATACGAACGAGCCAACATTTTGACCCATCAGACTTTTAGCAAATAACTTCAGTCAAAAGGAGTCAAAAGGTGCCTTAGTGGTGAAGGTTTTTTTGTGTGGATTAATCATGCACCGATACCATATGAAATTAGTCTCGGGCATCCCAAACATGGCTTCATTTGCGAACTACCTACTCCACCAAGCCTTTGCATATGTGACCGGCATGCTCCTGTTTTTCATGAAAGTCGTGATATTTTTGGGCCTAATTAAATCATCCGTCCCATCAAAACTCTCTAAAATTAAATCTGAGACATATCTCGAAGTTGTTTGGCTGTGTGTTCGGCTACGGTCACAAACTGTACAAATATGTTTCCCATTGTTTTTTTTAATAGCGAATCGAGATGTGTTTTTTACGATGGATGCCATCATCATCCAAGACCATTTGTCACTCTTGCATTTCAACACATACCTCTTATTGTTGCTCTTCACAGTCTTTGTTTCAAAATGTCCTTGTATGGAAACATCAGCCATCTTCTTCTTCAACTCTCTTTTGTCAGCAAACTCAAGTCCGATGGCCAAATCCGACCCATCTTCAAAGCCACCATCCAATGTCGCGTCTACCTCATTACCAAAAGACGTATCAAAAGAAAGATCATCCCTCCGAATAAAGCACTCGTCCTCATTTAACTCATCATTATCACCACTCATATAATCATCTTCATCCACTTGCGCAGTTACTGGGCTCTTCACAGGAGTGGCATTAGACTCAACGAATTGAGGATTTTGATCACACCTCCGTGCATTTCTCTGAAAAACAATACCTTCTTGATCACGCCCAGATTCTTGATCAGCAACAATCATACAATTGAAGAAGTCATCCTGGACGCAATCAATCAGGGGAACAAAGGGGTTAATTGCTGATTGCAATCCCAAGAGTTCTTCTTGGACTTCATGTATTTGCTCTTCTTGTTTTTTTCTTCACGTTCAACTGGAACCATCTCAACATGCAAGGCCGTAAGGTTTTGCTTTAATTCCAAAAGAAATACATGTAGTGTTTCACTTGAATCGATGGAAAAGGGTGGAATATTTTTTTCAAGCCGTTGAATTTGAAATGCAATTTTTGGCCTTTGACTTTTTATATCACAACCAAGCTTTTGAATAATGGCTTTCAAAAAGGCATCAAAGTCCAAATTAGCAACATCCCAAAACAACGAAGTTATATTCTTGCCGGATCCACTGTAAACATACTTCCCTTCGTGATCTGTGGTCCATTTTCCACCATAAACAACATATAATATAACAGGATCTGTACCCATCTGCAATCGAAAAAACATAAACAACATAAAATATCACATTTAAGTGTATTCGAAATTCGTTGAAAGAACGTCGAATAGTTGAGACCAATTGAAAT